CGGAATGGCAAGAGCGGCAGGAGAGAACGCTTTCGAAGCCAAGACCGGCAGCAGCAGCAACAGCAGAAAGCACGGCACTGGCAGAAGCACTCCGCTGATTGATTATGCCATCAGAAGCAGACGCAGAGACCCAATGTCGATACCCTTCTCCCGACCAATGAGAAAGGGGAGGGTTGCCAACACTCCGGCAAGTGACGAATCAAAATCACCACAGAGGGGAGATTCTATTTGGCAAAAGGCTGGAATAGAACGACGCGAGTCTAACTCCAGGTGGCGGGTAGACATGCATGTGTTTGTTGAAGTCATACAAAGAAAGTAGACTTCACTCGTGAACAGCCGTTTAGGGTGGAGTGGAGTGGAGTGAGGTGGAGTGGAGTGGTAGAGAAGCGAATTGAAATGACGTAGCGAGGTTTTGTGTCCTTTGGCACAAGTGCGCACACGAACTTTCCTGTCGCCTGTCTATGAAAAATGTTATTATTTTTGGAAAAAAAGATGACTTTAGACTAATTTCGCCATTTACCGATTTTCACCTCGGTACCCTCACGACGTCATAGTCTTCTTGGCCAGTTATCATTTGATGTGGCAGGAAAACTCCGGTTGATGCTGTCCTCGGGGCCTTGTCCGTCAGTATTCTGCGAAAGTAGGGTAGGGAGTAAATGGAAGGAAAGAGTGATAAAACAGTCGTTCGGGAGAAAGTTGATCGGTGGATTAACTTCACTTGTCGATTCGACGAGTTGAGAATGGCAAGACTCACTGACGATGCTGGCGAAACTGGCGAAAATGTACCAATTACATGCTCCAAAATTGGGAATTATGCCAACCACTACAGTGGAGGACTTGGGGCAAGATGCGTCCAATTGAGTTATACAAAGAAAAGTTGGGTTTCGCGGAATCTCTTGTTTCATAATTGTTGAGCCTACTTCCATTTCGAGTGGAAGTGCTGGGTGAAGAGATTCATCATCAAAGCAAGGTAACATCGTCACAACAAAATTGAAGCTAACGAGTCAAGAAAACTCACCGGCAAATCCCTAAAAAGTGGTATATACACTCTACGTCTGGCCTCTTTGATCAAGTATAAAGTGATTTGGTTAGTTACGGTCATATGTCAACTTCGATGCATGTGAGTGTGTCTGTCTCTGTATTTGTATGTGCATGCTTGTGTTCACTTGTTCACGGAACCCGAAGTGATGGCTCAAAGTAGTTAGGACAGCAAAAATGAACGTCTGTTTTTGGCAATTAAGGTTCGATGACGCTATCTCCCCCTTTCTAGAAACATGTTATAACCATCACTCCGATTGCGCAAGGTCGGACACTTCTGGTCTTGTTGATGAGCCTATTTTTGGTTTTTGGTCTCAATGCGAGAGAGTAAGAGTGAGCTAAAACTGAGTTGCCAAAACCAGGTCATACAACTTGTGTACATCAAAAGGAGACTGCGATCAAAATAGAGGCCACAACATCTTGGTCTTGATATCTAAAATATGAGTTTTCATACAACTGCGGTGAATTCATCACTTTGTGCGATTTGAGGTGACTAGAACTCTTGTGCTCCTCCTTCTAATTGGGCCAAAACGTACTGAGCCTGCATTTGACGAAAAACTGATGTTTCTAACAAACTGTATTAGAGTGAATATGTTTTTTGACGAAGAGACTCGAAGCTCGATCTGTTGTAGTTTGGCGTTACCGGAAGACACTGGTTTTGAATTAGTCAGAAGAGTGGCACTGCGTTTTATACCATTTCTGTCAAACGACAGTCGTAATCTCAACACGTTGTGACTCGACTTTTCGCTTCAAAGAACAAGTTAGTTGGAAAGAATGTGTTAATTCGCATCACCGGAACTAGACGGAAGACTGTCCTAAAGTGTGCGAACAAGTCAGCGGATGACCGATCTGCAACCGCTGACAAAGAACCGCATCATTAAATTAGAAAGAGAGGAAAAACTGCCAGTTGCAAACCAACACCCATTATCTATCCTATTCCTAATTTCGTTATTTTAATGGGCGATCCTTTGATTTTGTTGCATACTTTATGCTTAATTGATTCCACTTTAAATGAAAGTGTGAATGATGAAAATGTTCAAAGGTCACTTTCATAGGAAGACATTCTTGACCAGGAGACAGTTGGCTTTACTGAAACATGCGAAGAAAAGTTGGGTTTCGAGGAATCTCTTGTTTCATAATTGTTGAGCTTACTTTCATTTCGAGTG